GCGCGAGCCGGCCTCACTCCTATCAGCCGGGCTCGGGCTGCCCTCCCGTAGGCTTCAGACCGACTCCTTTGCCCGCAGCAGGCTCCATGTGCCTGACTTGTAGTCCTTGCACGGGGAGCGCCTCGTTGTCCAACCTGACAAACGTTTCACGGGCGCCTGGGAAGGCCAGGGCCGAGCTGGGCGGTGGCTCGGTCCCCGGAGGCGTGGAGCTAGCCGGGGCGGTGTCCGCCCCACGGGGCTCTGCGTCCCCAGTTTGGAGCCGTGGGACAAGCTGTGCAACTTTCTGCCCGCTCGCTATAAGCATGCATGTAAAACCGAGGCTATGCTGCCACTTAGTGGAAGTGACTCTCTCTCTTCTCCATAACTTTTGCTTCCAGAAATCTGTTTTAACCCATTTCCAACCAAAACCCTTCCTCCTGCCCCCAAACATGAGTTTGTTCTTCTTTCCTTTTCTTCCCCTTCTTTTGAACAAGGCCCTCCCCACCTCCCCACTCAACAAGCCCCCAAAACTACAATGGGTGGGTTTTTAAGTGTTTTTGATTTTTCCTAGCAAAACAAAATGGGAGGAGGGCTTTCCCCGATCAGAACAGGCTCTGGGAGTCCAGGGTCTCTTCCTGGCTCTGCAACTCATTTGCTAGGACGAGCCTCCTGGTCCGAACCGTGAGATGATGGGAACAAGCTGCCCGAGGGGGTGATGCTTGCCAGTCAAGACAGGATGCCTTCAGCCACACACCAGTTGTTAGGCTCAGCACAGAGGTGAAGTGCTTTGGGCTGCCATGTCCAGGTTGCTAAAGTAAGGAGATGGATGCTTAACTTCAAGGTCCCAGGTTGGAACAACTCGGCCTTGGTTTTTCTGTGCCTTCATCTACAAAACAGGCGACACATTTGGCTCATCGCAGCAAGCTGCAGGAGACTCAGTAGATGAATCTTTGTAAAAGTGCTTGCAGCTCCCCAGATAAAATGTGTTTTAGACGTGCAAAATGTTGTGAACGCTAACTGGTTTGCATTGGGGGAAGACGGAGCTGCCCCTAACGAGATGAACGGCTCTTTCAAGTCGCTGGTGTAAAGGAAACAACAACCGGGGAAATTGGGCAGGAAATGGAGAGACTTCACTGTGCTTTCACAACTCACAGTTTCGTCTTTCCTAGCGAGAGGGGATGGTCCTGGGGTACTGACTGGGAAGGATGTCCAGAGGTCTTAACCCCTTCATCGGGGGTTGCCGTGGGCCTCATCCTTAGCACGTCCAGTGCGGTGCTCAGCTCCCCCCCTTGCAGAGAAGGGCCTGGTGCACTCGGTGGGACGGGGCGCCGAGGGCTCGGTGCGTTTTGCTCTGAATCAATACCGCTCCTCCTTTGCTGCGCCAGGTGAGGTGGGCCGGGGCCGGTGATTCCCCCCGGCCCTTGCCCGGGGCTGTGTTTTAAGCCGTCTCCCTTCCCCAGGACACACAGACGTCTCATTGTTTTCCCAGATCGCGGAGACCTATGCTTTCCTTCCAAGAGAAGCTGTGACCAGGTTTCTGATGAGTTGCACGGAGTGCCAGAAGAGGATGCATTTCAACTCCAACGGACTGGAGCCCAAAGGTAAAGGCACGTGGGTTCTGCTGGGATGGTCGCCTCCAAGCGTTTCACCTTGCAGTGCTGTCCTTGCCCAGGTATTAAGATACTGTGCAGGTGGCGGTGATACTGCTTTACCGCACAGCTTCCCTAACCCAATAATAATCATGATAGGGTAAAAGTGGAAGAACTGAGCCAATCTCATCGTCTTCCCTGTTCAGGCTGTTTGCTTTCGCAGACAATGAGAACAGACTACTCCGTTTCCTTTAGCGTCTGGTTGGCCGGTTTCAGCTTTTCTTGCACCAGACATCAAGTGGAAAAGTTTGGGGTGGAAAGGTTGCAGATATTTCTGTTGACTTTAGACTTTATAAAACCTTTCCGCCTACAACACTCACATTTCTGAACAAGTGTGACCTCAAATTTCCTCTTTAAACTATTATCATATTATGAAAGGCATTGAGTAAGTTTGACTAGTGGAGGTTTCTGATAATGAAGTCATTCTCACTAATTAACAGAGGCCATGATCCTGTTCTGGGTAGCAGAGGGTGCCTAGCTAATCCTAGCTACACTCTTATTTATGCATGCACCAAATTATCGCTGCCGCCGTGGGATTTAGTTCGTTATGCGTTCTTTGTAAACCGAACCTTTCCGCAGTTCTTGAAGTGTAAAGACAAAAGCAACGCTTAACCGTGGGCCAAATTTTCTGCTGGTATACATGGGAAAAACTCCGGCCAAGTCGATTCTTGTATTTGTTGTAACGAGCTGCACATTTATTTTCTGTTACCAAGCGCAGAATGGAAAACGCGCTGGGAGGTTTCCCGTCACAAAAGCACGGAAATAATAAGCACCACACAGAGGATTAAATCATTTCTAGTAACTTAAGGCAAACTGACCCTTTGGTAGCTCTTGTCCAGCAGAGAAGGAGAATGAAAGGAGCCGAGTGCCAGGGTATTTCTGCTACTTAGTGCCAGCTCCTGAGTGCTAACGGCTGGGAGCAGACTTGTGGTCAACCCCAGAGTTTCCATTGAACCGGCGTCCCTGTGCCACTGTCCACAGCTAGCTGCTGAAACACTGGGTCTGCTTCCTAGAAATTGGGCCGGAATAATCATGCGGGATGTTAATTAGCTGGGGTATCATTAGCGCAGTGGCACCTTCCCCAGCTGCAGATGCAGGGCCCCTTCCTTCCTTCGCTTAGGCCCATGGAAATGCTGGGCTTTGGCATCAGCAAGAACAAGACCGCCCCTGGGCTGATTGCAGGGTATCTGTCACGAGCAATGTTATTCCTATGGTGGATAAAATTGTGAACCGATGCAGAGCGGGGAGGGAAGTAGGACCAGGGAGGGACCGGTGGAGTTTGCATCTTGTGGCTCGACTCCAAACACAGCACTTAAATAACGTCTAGCACTCACATCTCTCAGCTGAGATGGCCATGACCCTTCCCACAAACACTATAATGGAAAGGGATGTGACCACTTTTGAGACTGCTTTACCATCCCCAGTCTCCCAAGACAGCGATGCTCCCCAGAGACACTGCAGTGGCCTAGGCTCAGATACCAGACACAAAGCACAAGGTGCTGAGCACCCTCCCATCGCTGGACCCCTGCTAGGAAAATCACCATCGGGAAGGCAAGGGCGAGGCCGTCTGCCCCGATTCAAGTGCAGCAGGGACCTTTTCCATAAGGCTTTCCCCCAAGATCAGCGCTCCCGGGAATAAACCACGCAGACGCACACGGTCCGTCACACGCAGTCTTGCTCCTCGGCCGGGGCAGGAGGAAACCAGCACCGCCTGTTCGGTGCGCTCTGGTTTTGTGCAGGGCACAGATAGAGGATGCTTTGAAGCCCGTGAAAGATAGATGGATTAGATTAGATTAAATTGACTGTTATCAAGGACTAATTTCACTAACATTAGGGATACAGGAATTTGTCTGGGGGCTGTAGAAGGATTACACACATAAAATGCAACTCCCACTAAGGTAAAACAAAAAAAAAATCTGAGCCATTCCTGCCAGTGCCCACCTCCCCCATTCATTAAGAAAATCTCACCTCACTGCAATCCCAACCAGAAAAAAACCCTAATTAAATGTGTCTTATGTGCTGAACCCTGCAGGGCACCATACGATGCATGAAAACAAACTCTCTTGCTTGTGAGAAACTTGAAACAACCACCTTGTGATTTACATTGGTGTAAATCAGGAGTAAGGGCATCGGAGGAGTTGTCCAGGTGTGGAGCTGGGAACAGAACTATTTTGTCTGGGACACCTTGACCTAGTATAATATAATACATGACTATGTAGGCGTGTAGGTATGTGTGTGTATAGATATATAGAGAGATATATATATACATACCGGCTTATATATACTGGACTATATTGG